TACACATTTTATTTTTTATTTAAAAACACAAAACGCCAAAAAAAAAAAAAAAAAAGCGGAGGGGGGGGGGGGGAGGAGAGCGGGAGAAGGAAAGGACGGGAGGTCGGGCACTGCGATTGTCCCATCCCGGTGTAAGGGAGGCTGACCCCGAGTACGGGGTCTCGGGGCGGGGGCCCACGGTCAGGTGATGCTCTGCTATGCAATAACGGGGGCGACTCCGGAGAAGCACAGGGAGCCGGGGGAGTGGGGCAGATTGGGCGGGGTGGGACAAAAGAACTTTAGGGAACGGCCGTTCGTTTCATAGGGGTGCTGACTGGGGAATCGTCCACTCCTTCCCCCGCCCCAAAAAATGGTGGGCTGCAGGGAGGGGCTGCCCTTTCCCCGTACACGGGGAGTATCGCACCCCGAAGGGATCCGGGCTGTCTGAGACCCCACAGGGCGGCCCGCACCGCCTCCGCACAGCTCCGGCCGCTCCCGACGGCGCTGCGGTGCCCGCACGCAATGCCGCATCGCGCGGCGGCGGCGCGGAGCCGTGACCGGGCGTCCCTCGGCAGCTTCGGGCCGGGGGGGGCACGGCGCACCGCTCCGCCGCCGCCACGGATCCGCGCCGCTCCGCTGAGTGCGGAGCCCCGGGGCTGTGCGTGGGGCTCCGTTCTCAGGGCCGCGTGCGCGAAAGCTGCGGGGGTGCGGGGTGGGGAAAGCTGCGGACGCTTGAGCTCGTTTGCTGCCTTTTGAAAGTGGCCGATCTCCGTTCTTCGTTTCCTTTTTTCAAAACCTCTGGCAACGGGCAGTCGGCACAACGTTGAATCAGCGTACACAGAGAAGCGAATATATATATTTATATAGAGATATATCGAAGTCATCTATACATGTGGACACCTTTCCCTGCTCATTGTCCCCTCCCCCAGTTGCTGTGACGGCAGCCGGGTCCCTGCAGTGTCACACCTCCCGGCACAGTCAGGTTCGGCCATTTTTGAAGCATCGTGAACACTTTTGGGATGTTTTTATACAGCCGGACCCAGAGGGCAGTGTTGGTGTCTTTGGGCGACCCATCGCTTGTTTTGTACTTTGAATGAAATGTAGCCCTGACTTACTGGCTCTGGGTACACCTCGGTGTGACAGAAATGGCATTTTCTTGGATTTCCTGCACGCATCAGTGGTGACAGGGGATAGTGAGCACAAAGCTGCAAGCAACGCAGCAGGGGACTGGCCACTGCTTTCAGCGTGCTGGCACTGAACACAGAGCCAAAGCCCCTCCAGTAGTGCCACAAATCCCCAGAAATGCTGATGGTCATAGAAGCCACTGGTGTAATTCTTGTGCTTTTCAGAGGAGTTGCCACGGGCTTTGCAGAGCACAAAGGCTTCGGCTGGCAGAGGTCAGTGTGTGTCCTCCAGACCCCCGTCCCTGCCTCATGCTGCCGCTGCACCTCTGCAAATATTTGCAAAGAGCTTCTGCTGGAGGATGCATGGCCAGGGCCTCACTTAGACTCGCACTGTTTCTGGGCTTTGTGGGACCTAGCTGGGATTGACAGCAGCAGAAGCAAGCAGAACATTGGTCTTTTCCAATGGAAGATTGGTGAGAAGTAGCCAGCAGGTTGGGTCTTTTTGGCCAGGTTCTTTCAGTGGCCAGCAGAAGTTCCTAAGGTTTCGGTCCAGTTTGTTCATTGTGAACTTTGCGTAATAAGAAATCATTCCTGTTCTCAGTAGGTGAAGAAGTACCTCTTTCTTGTAGAAACATCAGATGTGGGGGGGCTGGAGGGGCGTTGATCTTGATAATCATTTGTATTGACGTGTATTGACCAGCATCAGGTGTTCACATAATTGTTAACAACTAATCACACTACTTAAGATGAATAACTGTTTGATGCACATGGGATTTCCTTGCAACTCCTCTCTTTCGTGCTCGACTCTTTTTTGGGGTGAGGTGGTCATGCTCACAGCTCCATCTCTACCACTTGTACCATTTCTGTTAAAAGTGCCGTTGGTTTTTGCAGCATCACCCAACAACTGCTCTTCTCCTGTTCCTGCCACCCCCAGAATGGAGTTTTCCCACCCCCGTTGGGAACTTTTGCAATGCTGAGCATTGCAGAGATAAAGCAGGTTCCAGTAGAGATGACCCACACCAGAACTCTTCTGCCCTTGCCTTTGAGGGATGCAAACAAGTAGACTCCAGCTCTGAGCCCACCAATGGATTTGCCCATTGGCCAACCTATCAGTGTAGGGTACAATGACTGCGATACAGAAAATGGTCCTGAGATGAACAGAAAAATGTTGTCATGAAACTGCATAGGACAGGATGCTGTGAAGGCTGAGGATGATGGTAGTTGCCTTTATAAGTTCTGCTTGATGTCAAGCATAACTGTCCAAACCAAGGTTGCTCCTTCCCTCTTCCTCCCTCTCTCATCATACCTGCTTCCCCAGGAAAGAGGACATTCCAGAGCAATCAGAACAGCCGATCATTCTGATGTAATTGTTCTCATTAGCCTTTTAGCTTGACCGAGAAAGGTGATCTCAAAGGAAAATGTCCAGTTACCATTCGGTCATGGTAAAACCAAGCCCCTACGATGCACTTTATGAGCGAGTGAAAACAAATCAATGCTGTTATTGCACTGTATCTCTATTGTGTATAATATTATACATTCATCTGTAAGAGTAATTTATTTTTATTACTGTAAATAAAACTGTTTAAGTGGTTTGTCAAGAGGCTATCCAAAAATGGAGGGTAAAATTAAAATGTTTGAAGACCTGGGCTCCTGCCCCAGGCATGTGCCATGCTGGTGTCTGTGTCTTCATTCAGCTGAACTGAGCCTGGTACAGGCCCACACTTTCCCCAGCAAGGGTAACTTGGGGCAAACTAGGAGGGCTTGAGGCAAACTGAGTGCCTCTGGGTCAATTATCCCTTCGGGGCTTGGGCAATGCCTCCAGGATGGCAGCTTCTCCCACAGAAAGCACTTCTCGGCCGTCTAATTACCCAGCGGGTCAGGGATTACATCGCCGTGGGAATTAATTGATCTTTGAGAGCTGCTTTCTCTACAATAAGGGTTACAGCGCTATCAGCTTTGCGCTGCTCCTTCTGCCCCTGGCTCTAATAGAGATCTGCACATCACGGGGCTGCCAACGGCGAGGGCGAGCTGACAAAAAGGCGAAATGAGATATACTCGAACCTCTTAAAATCTTTATTGGACTCTATTTTTTATTAGCACATGCATAAAGTGTCAACAGTTGGGGATTATGTCGGACGACGGTTTTCACAGACCAGTCACAAGCGGTGCTCCGGCTCTTGGCGGGCTCCATCCTTCCCCCCATCCCTCCTGGTGCCGGGCAGAGCACCCAGCACTGCGATACACGTGGTCACACGTAGCGACTGGGGACGTAGATAGGTACAAGCAGCAACATCTACTCACCTACTGACTAAGTGCACGTGGTTAAAAGACCCCGTTAGACAGCAAACACCTCTTTCTTCTTTAAAGTTAACTATATAATAATAGAAATTGGGTTATATCCTGCACTGCGTGACCCTCCTGAGGGAGAGGTGCCCATCTCCTGTCAGCTGCTTCCACCAAGTGGAAAATTGAAGGGAACGTGGGTATTAAGTCTGCTAGTAGTAAAACCCGAGCCTTTTGCAGGAGCCACCGCTCCTTCCCCAAGGGCACGCTGCCCTAAGCCTGTCCAGCAGGTTGGGAGGAGGAGGAGAAAGAGGAAAAGGAGGAGGAGGAGGAAGAAGAAGAGGAAAAGAATGACTCCACCTGTATACAACCTGAAACAAACCCATCAGCAAAAGCATGTCCTGCAGCCAAACAAGGATGGGGTTTTGCCCTTCCTGCAGCCCCACTGTGCCCTTCTGGAGACTGTTCCCTGCCAAAGGTGCAAGGTGTGCACCCGTGTGCCTGCCAGAGTGGGTTTCCCTTAGGTTGGCCAAGATCAGAGTGACAACTGATGCCAATGCTACCCTGGGGTAAAACTCCACGTGCAGGGAAGGAGGAATCCTGGTGCACAGCTCGTGGCTTGGGCAGGTCCAGTTTGTCACCTGGGGAAGGCTGAGCATCAGAAACACTTACAAATGCTTAGAAATGCCCTGTCCCTCTCCTTGGCTGGGGGTGGGCGCTCTGATTGCTGGATGTCCATAGCTGCTGCTCCAAGCTCTGGATGCTCCATGGAAACACATGGGAGATCCCCAGAGAAGGCACCTTTGTCAGTGGTAACACTGCAGCAACTGCCTAAAGCTACACAGGAGACATTCCTCTTCACCCTTGACAAGAAACCAGAGTGAAGGAAAATGGGGCCACCAGCCCCAAAACACTCCTAACATCACATCTCAGAGCAAAGGTTTTCTCTTCAGTATGAGTTTTCCTTTCCTTGTTCTAATCTGCTCCAATCCGAGATGAAAGGCACCACAAAGAGAGAGTCTATGAGTGGGAAACCGGCCACAGCTGGATGTAGACCTGAAACCCCTCAGCACAAACCAACTCTGGTGGTGGATCCACAACCAATGCTCATACTGGGCTGGGATTTGGGAACCAGCAGTAGCACCTCTCCTCCAGCCTCAGAGCAGCCCTAACGGAGCCAGCACTTGCCAGTGTGCATCACAGTGACATCACTGGGCTCTAAATCCACCTCACTTCCATCTCAAGGGTGCTATATATTTTCCATGACAACTGACTTTTTGTCAGGTAACTGTTCCCAGCGGAGGCATCAGGCACTAGCAAGCACTGATAGTGGGTGAAATCAGTGGGATTTGAGGCACCTGAGCTGAGGTGGAGCCTTCAGGGATAAAAACACTTCCTACCATAGTGGAGACCTACCTCCTTGCTGAGCTGTGGTTTGCTGGGCTGTTTCTTTTGCTCTTATGAATGTGTTTCATATAAACCAATTTTTGGAGGTTTTTTGGTGACAGCAGATGGGCAGCTAGCTGATGAGACAGCACTGGTCTCATATATATATATATATATATGTATGTATATATATATATATATATATATGTTTTTCTTGGCAGCCATGTAAGTTTTTTCTTTGCTTTGTTTTTCTGGGGTTTAAATTTGTTTATTTTTAGATTACTTTATTATTTTGCAGTGGGTTTTGTCTATCTTCGTATTTTTGTACAGAGTGGTAGGATTGTGACCAAGCTAAGATGACAGTGCTTGCTTTCTATTCTGTTTCCTCTGACTTCTTAATACTTCTTGTATGTTCAGTGCTGGAATTGCCATCAAGCTGGAGGTCCCTGGGACCACTCCAATCCCTTGAACTTCTCACCACAGGAGTGCGGGGGAAGGCTTGCTTCACCAACACCTGGGTTCACAACCCAAACAGAATGCCAGCAACAGCTTTAAGCACGTTCTCACTAAATGGGAAAGACTATAGAGGGACATCTGGGTGCTGGTCTGAAGGGTGGCACTTGTGAGACAATATTTGGCAGGAGAGAGGTGGGAAGGGGAAGGTGAAAGATCTGTAACCTGCTATAATGTAGTGTTATGGAGCAGTCAGTGGCCTCAGGACCCTGTATCAGCATGGACAGAGACTAATACTGATGTTACACTAACACTGCTTGCAGGGGATGCCACAGCCAACATGTCCCACCTGCAAGCAATGCTCCAGCAAGGGAAACCCTGCTTTGGGCCCATTCCATTTCATGTCCTAACCTGTCTGTGAGTGGTACCGAGGGCTTTGGGATGAGCATCCACTGAATCCCATGACACTTCTCCCCCTTCTCAGCAAAATCCATGTGTGATTCTCACCGGGAGAAAGTAAAGCCTGCATGAGTGGGTCTAGGAAAGTTGAGGTTTGTTAAAAGGTTGGATTCGCACGTGTACACGCACACACATACAAAGGACACAAGGGGAAAACCCTTCTGGCTCTCAAAGATTGAAATATTTTAAAGACTAAGGTTAAGTAAAAATGCCTGGAGGAGGACATCTATGAGCTTGGGGGCATCACATGAATTGCATGGGCAGCTCTAAGTGCCAACATGTAGCCATGCCAGCGCTGCTGGGTGCGTTCCCTACCATGTGCACGGTCATCCCAGAGCGGAATAGAGTCCTGGGATGGCTGCCCATACGAAGGCAAGATCAGCATGTCTCACTGCTCCCATGCTTTGCTCAGGCACTTCTGCGTGGGGATGGTGGAAGGACAGAGAGCCCTGCCATCAGCAGGGGGATGCGGTTGTGGTGTTGGTTACGGGATCAGTTGGGGAAAGGGACGGTGGTCCTCGAGGTGCTGCTGCCCAGTTGGGAGGGTAAATTCATGGGTATGTGAGTGAATGAGCATTTGTGGCTTCTAAAGTGCAGTGCAGGTCATATGGTCTTTACTGTAAACTGTAAGCTCCTCAGGACGGAGCCCTTGTCCTTACTTTTATTTTTTTCGGTGAAATGATGTGCCAGCCTAGAAACTCTTAACCCTAAATAATAACAACTACTACAGGACAACAGGGGGTGGTGAGAAGGACAGTCTGTGCTCCCTGTGCCAGTATGGTGGGAGCAGATGGGGAGAGCTTCCCGTGGCCCTCCATGCTCCATCCTCAGGGCTGTGGCTTCTTTGAAGAAGATCCAAACAAGGATCTCCAACCTGTCTTCCTCTGTGTGGGGCTTCCCTTGGTCACTACAAGGAAGGTGTTGACTCAGGTTCTGTTCCCAGGGGGGTCTCCCAGGCTTGTGTCTTGAAAAGGAGATACAGATGACAAAGTTGCAAGGAGGGAATTTGAAGCCTCTTATATGTAGGGAGCTCCTTGGAGAAGCTGTGCTCAGCCTTACGCTTCCCACCAGACCATAGCCATCCTGGGATGAAATGACCGCCAGTGCAGGAGCCCTCGCAGGGTGTGATGCTCACTCCCCCTACGTGTCTGTCTAGGGTGGAGAACCACCCAATGCCTTTTTATTCTTTCAGGACACTGATCCTCTAAAAGCTGCCAGCATCACTTACTGGGTCCAAGGCTCCTCCAAGACTGAGGAGAAGCTGGGTGCAAGATCAGATCGTGAATCCTACCTGACTTCCATAACCTTCATCAGACGTCAGCCAGACCAGCCTGCACAGCCCATGGGCACAGTGCTCTCCTAATGTTCCCTTCCACGTCAACTGGAGATACCCAAGAGGCTCCTGAAGGGCCACAGGCACTAGAACCTCCTGTTACATCTCTGAGCAGAGCCAAACCAGCTTATTTTCTCTTTGGATGACTCAAGCCTGGTTCATTCATATGCACACAGAATATGCTTCCCCCTGCTGGCAATATTTTGCTTATTATTTTTAATCTATGCCCATAAATTGGCAAGGAGGAGAAGGCAGATAAAATGGCAAGGGGAACCTCAGGAGACAGGTTGGGCTCATTAAATGTTTGGCACTCTGTGATTATTTGTTGGCAATGAAATGTCACTAGTATGTTTTAACATGGAACACAATACCTAAATATGCAGGGGAATCTCCCCTATCCACTTTTGGTACACTTGAGAGACAGGAGGAATTCAATCATCTGTGACCTGGATTGTATTTTTAATGGCTGCCAAGCTAGATAAAATATTTAAATATTCACTTTTATATCAGCCCACATGGGGACTTGAGCATTTCAGGTTGTATAATGCAGGGTGGCCTACTTTTGGTGTATACAGAAATAGGCACATATGTACAAAATACTGAGTGTGCAGCATATGGGTCAGCCAGCCAGCATTAATTAGCTCGGCACAACCAACTCCTGCAGCGCTAGCCTGGCCCAGACCCACCAAAGAGCTTGTGCTGGATTTCGGAGGTGACCAGGTCAAAAAATATTGGTGTATGCCTGGAATAAAGACGGTCATCCTCAGAGGTGGCTGAGACCCTCAAGCAAAGGCATTGAGGACACTGCTCTGCCAGCAGAGCTGACCTTGCAGGAGCGACTGCTGAATGATACTGGGGCTCCTGGTGCCATCAGGTGCTGCCCATCTGCCTTGTGATGCTGCCAGGAGAGAGGTGGGGAGCGTGAGGGACACTGCAATCAGACCAGAAATAGGTGCCCACAGCTTGCACTGACTATACAGGCTACTTGTTTACTGACTGCATAAGAAACCTGAGCAGAGGGCTCTAACACAGCGCCTCACTGGGAGGCTACCTGTGGATCTGCCCATCTGTCCTATCAAGACAGCTCCAGCACAGCCAAGGCAGACTCAGCCCTTACAAGAGCTGGGCTGTGTTGGCTTCTAGCAACAGCAATGCTGGGAGGCTTATGGTCCTACTGCCTTGCTTTGGAGTTGGGGATGTGGAAGGGACTGGAATCCCTTGGGGTGATGTGGCAATGGTGAGGATGGCATAGGAACATGAAGGTGCAGGGAAATGGGGGCAAGCCCTGCTCCCTGCCACCACGAGGCCCTTGGGTCCTCTGCCAATGTGACCCACGTGCAGGGTAAGCAAGGTTGCGTGTGTGATTGTCAAGTGCTTTGCCATGCAATGGCATCGACCCTGATAACAGCACGGGCTGATGGCTGCCAACCTGAAGTCACTATGGGGTCACCATGAGATGATGAGAACATGAGCCTGCTGGGGTCACCCTCATCCATCATGTGCAACCACAGCAAGTCCTACCAGAGTCATCACATGCTTTCATGTAGCAAAGCACAACCAGAGCACAAAAAGAGACCCAGCCTTGCAGGGGCACTGAGCCCCACTTCCCACCATGGAGGCAGCCACTGACCCAAAGGCTGAGCCATCCCCATGTATCTCTGAGCCTCTTCCCCATGCACTGGTAGGGTGCCCTGGCTCTACCCCAGAACAGGTCAGCACTACAGCTGACCCTACAGCCCCATGAACACCCTGACAGGAATGGCAGCCTCTCATGTGAGGCCGTGACTCTTCCTAAATTACCAAATAACCAAATTTTTTCGCATATGAACAGTATCACAAGTGCATCTATGTTAACAATGTTCCGCAATAAGTACTGACAGGTGACTGTCTAAATGTTACTCTGATTTTTTTTTTAAATACAAGATCTACTTCTGAATTGTTAAATGTCACATCCCAACCTTCCTGACAAGGAAATCCCATTGTGGGCACGAGGGTGGCTCCCCACCCAATGGGGATACCAGGATGGGTCCAAAAGCCCAAGGACCTTCTGTGCAGCTCCTTCAGTGGTGTTAAAGCCAAGGAGAGCTGCCTTGAAGGAGAGGGGGGACCAAACACGGGGCTGTGGACCACAGCAGGGCAGAGAAGGGTGCAGAACTATCACCAGCACCAACAGATTTCACTTCCCACCTGAAATCCTTCCCCAGCCACTCTGGTCTTCTCCTGAACCCAGTCCAAACCCTGCTCAGCACCACAGTGATGCTCGCGGGGCAATGGTGGGAGGAAAGGGATGCTCCAATCCCACTGGAAGGAGTCAATGGGATGCAGAGAAATGGGGTATGTCACATCCAAGGGACAGAGGCAATTTTGTGTTACTCAGCACCAGCAAGAGCTTATGATGACACTTCTTAGCAGATAGGTTGGGGCTTGTGGTCATCATGTTCCACCATGAGGTGTTTCTCTTCAGGGGGAAATAAGCAGATGCTCAGGGAGATTTAAGCTTTGAGATATGCAGTTCTCAGGGTGGATTTAAGCATCAGCCCTCATGAGCTTTTGGGGTCACAGCCAGCCCTCTCACCAGCTTTACAGGTCTCTTTGCTTCTAGAACCTCAGAGTACTCCCTGTGCAGCTCTGGGGAAAGTGGGCACCAAGTCTGACTTCTCCCCAGAAGAGCTGTCATGAGTGGATCTCAGTTTTTTCCCTCATTTGGGGCTTGTAGTGTATGGGAATACAAGAGAGGGCCATGTGGCCATGTCAGACGGGTCCACATTAGTTCTGGCCCATACACTGCTGGTTGGAAGCCTCTTGCAGCTCTGCAGAGCCGTACCTCTGACTGGGATGTTTTCAGTATTTCACACCCATTTGCTCTGCCCTCCCGCAAATCCTCCTTTAATAGCTGCATGAAAAGGCTGCTATGAATCATGCTCTATTTTGGTGAGCAAACCAGTATTTTTGGCACAGTGGTGGGGGCCCCGTTCCTGCACTCCCCACCCGTACCGTGCTTTGGGGACAAGGGACAGGGCAGCACCAGGACGGTGCCCTGGGATGGGGTTGATCTCAACTGTACCAGTGGGGTTCATGGGGATACAAAGTGCAAATCAAGAGAGTGAGCCCAAACCTCACCCTCAGTTTCAGTGGTTTGGGTTTATCTAAGAGCAGCATTTTTTTTCTTTTTTTTTTCTTCAAATAATACTATAATAGTATTATATATCAGCACTATGGCCAAGGATAGCGGGGCTTTGGGACACTGCTCTCCATCCCTTGCCCTCAGGATACATTGCACTACATATGCTGGTTCCCTGCCAGCTGCATGAGCCTTGTCTTCATGCTTTTCTCCCAGAAATCTGTCCCAAGGATGGGAGTGGGCTCAAGGGTCACAAACACTTCAGTTTCCTCCCAGAGCTCCCCATTACACGTTTTAACATCTAGCTGCAAAAGCTCTCCTGCCTCCTGGTTTCGTTCCTCTACCAAAGCCAGCCTCTGGTTGTGGAGCACTCCCATTCACCCAGCCAGAGAATTTTCAGCATCGTTAAGCGTGGAGGTGCTGCTAATTCCTGGCCTCGCTGCCTCAAAGTTGCCTCCTACCCGTGCACAGCCTCCAGCGCTGCCCGAATGGTTTTCAACACGGTGTGAAAGCAAAGCTCCTGAATTAGCGGGGCTGATCGCGGTTGTCGGCATCCAGGTTTGGGGGAAGTGCCGTACGCACCTGCTGCAGGGGAGCCCCCGGCACGGCCCCTCAGTCCGACCACTCGTTATCATCCAGCTCGGAGTCGTCGTCTGACTCGCTGTACTCCACCGCGATCCGGCGGGACAGGATGGTCGCCACATCATTGCCCACGGGCTCTTTCTTGGCCTCTTGCTCCCACTGCTCCTGGACTTTCCGAAGTTGAATGCCTGTGTTAGGAAAGGTGGGAGAGCTGTAGGGGCACTGTCACCTACCAGCTGCCATCCCCGGTTAAATGCATGGGCTGGAATGGGGTGGCTGCACCTGATTACAAAGATACAACCTTCCTCCTTGGCACACACACAGCCTGCAGAGGTTGAAGCTTCTTGGAGGCCAAATCTTGCATTTATCCTTAACATATGCATGAAGCAGGAAAGGTAAATGAAGGAGACCCCAGCAAGCAGCATCAGCTGCAGTCTGGCGGGAGGCTGGGTGCCCAGGAGTGTTGTCATAGAGCCCAAGGCACTTCCACCCATGCACTGTCACCTCCCCAGCAGTGACACCTTAAGTCATACAATCGTCATAAGCTCAGAAGAGTTGGAAAGGACCTCAAAGCCCATCCAGCTACAGCTCCCTGTCATGGGCTGTCTGTCTGTATGGGAACTGTTGATCATGGCCTGAACCTCTGATTGACCACCTGAGGCAAGCAATGAGTCAGCCACAGGAGCACAGGTGAAGGCAATTCTACTTGGAAGGAGCGTAGCCTGGCTCCACCTCTCCTACATCCCATTTAAGGACTGACTGCCACTAAGGAAGGATCTCTCTCTGGAGATTGCTCCTTGTGGAGTTTACTGCAAGCCTACAACACTGGTGAATGTTTTATTATTATTATTACTATTATCTTTCCACCGTGATAATCTTACTGAGCCTAACATCTGTATACTTATTGATGGTACAACTATACGCTTTCCCCCTCCAGCACAGGCTGCCCAGGCTCCACTCAGCCTGACCTTGAGCACCTCCAGGGATGGGGAACCCACATTCTCTGGGCAGCAGTGCTAGGGCCTCACCACTCTCATCATAAGGAATTTCTTCTTTGTATTTGATCTACGCCTTTACTCTTCTAGTTTAAAGCTGTTTATCCCTTGTCCTTTCACTATTCCCTCTGACAAATAATTCCTCCCCACCCATCCTGTATCCCCTTTTAGCGATAAGAAGGTTTCTATCAGGTCTCCTTTTCCAGGCTGAACAACCCCAGCTCTCCCATTTCATAGCAGAGATGCTCCATCCCTCTGAAAACCTCCCCTCCATGTCCCCTGGGATATGGATTGTATGGGAACTGCTGAGTCCCGGCCTGAACCTCTGATTGATCACCTGAGGTGAGCCATAAGTCAGCCAGAGGAGCGCAGGTGAAGGCAATTCACTGTGCTGCCAGAAGGGGTGGAGCCTGGCTGCACCCCTCCTAGGCCTATTTAAGAGCTGGCTACCAAGGGGGAAGCATCTCTTCTGGAGATCTGCTCTGCTGGTGTTTTGTGAGTGAGCCCAGGATAGGGGTAAGCCTTCTATTTATTCTTTTGTTGTCATAGTCTGCTTTGCCTAGCTCTCGTTTATTTTGTGATTATAACATCCTAAAATTCTTTGATTATACAGGATCCTTCTCCACAGGTCTCATTTGGGTTCCACCACTTTTGTACATCACCTGGACACCCAGGGCTTGCCTGCATCTCCAACAAGCCAACATCACCCAACTCTGGACCACAGCATTTTGCCTGGGCCGTCCCTTCCCTGCAGGGGAGGCAGAGCCCCCTGCCACATCTCACCTCTGCGGATGGCTGCGAGCAGGTCGCTCCGGGCATCGCTCATAGGCATCAGCGGGATCGGCGGCTTCCGGGACTCGGCGGCGGGGGCCGGCGGTGAGGCTGAGTGCGCTGGCGAGGTGGTGAGAGCTGGTGGCCCCGGTGGCGGTGGCGGCGGGGCCACGGGCGGCCCCATGGGGCCGGCCTGAGGCGGGGAAGCGGAGTAGGGGCCGGGCGGTGCAGGGGGCGGCGAAGGCGCGTAGGAGGGGTGGGCGGCGGGGGCGGCCGCGCCGGGGGGCAGCGCTGCGGGAGCCGCCATGGGGCTGTCGAAGGCAGTCTGCGCGGAGGGGATGACGGGCGGCGGGGGCGGAGGGGCCGGCGGCACGAAGTACTCCGTCATCGGTACGGGCTGTGGTCTGCAAGGGGAGAAACCCCATCAGCAACGTAGGGCGCGGCAGCAAGCCTCCCCGAGTCTCCCGCGACGTGAATGGAAGCCCTACCCGAAATCCTTGACCAAGTGCGGTCTGGGTCCGTTCAGCACGGCCTCGGGGGGCTGCGGCGCGTGGGGCTGCTGGGCGCGGTTGAGGCTGTTCTGCCGGCTGCTCGCTGGTGGTCGGTAGCCGTGTTCTGGAGGGGGGACAGTCGGCAGCACCCCCTCCTTGTGTTCTGCGGGCACGTGGGCTGTGGGGGCCAGCAGCTGTGCCGGGTGGTTGGGGCTTGCCGGGTATGAGTGCTCAGCAGCATCTGAGGTGTAGGATCTACGGCGACAGGAAAACCAAAGGGTCGCATGCCTGGGAGGGGAAGGGCTGGGCGAGGGACTGGTTTGGGGTACTTGAGGTCAGGGCAACAAAATACAAGGGAAACCACAAAATAGAGGCAGACAAGAGAGCACAGAGAGGAGAACACCAATGGAGCTGGACCAGACTCTTCCCTCAGCTCCTAAACTGCTTGGACTTTATCCCACCACCAACATCCAGGATGTGACCCTGGTGGGCATCACTGTGCTGCGCATGAAGCTACATGGGTCTATGGCTCATTGGCTCGCCTTCCCGAACACCCTTGGCCTGCTAGCCCAGGGGTGGCAAAGAGAAAAACCAGAAGTGCCAAAAAGCAAAGGAAGCCCGGTGAGCTGAACGCGTAATAGGTAAAACCTGCCTATTATCTGGGGACAGTGATCCTTCCGATGATGCCATGTGATATGGGGATGGTGAGAACCTGTTATCGGGTCGGAACTCTTTATCGTATGCCATCATGTTCCACTCCAGGCGCCGGTTGCGGGCTTTCCGCACTTTCTTCACCTCCCGAGTGGAGTCCTCCACCAGCCGCTGCTCCTGAGGACACACAGCTGCAGCTCCGCCTCTGTCCCATGGCCCCTGTGGGTGATGCCCGTGGAGCATCGCCCTGAGCCCACCCCCAGAGCCATCCCTGCGCCTGCTACCTTCTGCCTGCGTTTCTCCTTCCTTTTGTCCTCTGTTGCCTGCAGCATCTTCTCCTTCCACAAGTTGAAGAAATAGGAGGGGTCAGTGTAGAATTTGAGGCCATCTTTCTTGTCATCCCTGAAGGGAGAAAAGGGGGATGTAAGCTACAGGGAGGGAGAATCCCCAAAATATTTCAATGCTAGCAACGGCAGTGCACAGATAGGGAACCTTCAGCCCTTCCCATGACTACAGCCTTCCACCAGCATCCATCTCTTTCCCATCTTGAGCCCTGCATTGGCACACTCCACAGAATTATGTGAGGGCAGTAATGCTGCTGCCTTGGGCACTTGTTCCCAGAAAAGAGACCGCTTCCCCTGCATATGAAGGCTTGGTATTGTCAAAGAATAAGCTGTTGGGGCCCCATAAACATGATCAGTGTGGAGACATCATTACCTGCAGTACCACATTATGATCTTATGGACATGGCACAAAGGGATATGATTTAGTGGTGGGACTCAGTAGGTCAGGGTCACAGAATCATGGAGTGGCTGAGGTTGGACACAACCTTTGGGCCCATCTCCAGCAGGGCCACCAGAGCATGGTGCCCAGGTCCACATCCAGAGTCCTTTGAAAATCCCCACGAGGAGGCACCAGAACCTCTCTGAGCACCGTCATCACACATTAGCACCAGTGCTATAGTATCTCCAAGGCTGATGATTGGAGTTGCTGATCTTCTCCAACCTAGATGATTCTGTGGTGCAAGGTCACCTGTTTCAGTTGTCCCATGCAATTATGGTGGTACAGCCATGGGGAAGACAGCCCTCACCAAGAAACAATGGGGTCACACCCCCCTGGCACCTCTCCTGCTAGAGGCCCCAGACATCCCCCCAGCACTCTGAAGAGCAAGGGGACAGCTGCCCTACCTGTATGGCGTGAGGATGTTGAGTGGTGGAGGCTTGTCGCAGCGCTGGTACATCTCCATCACCGGGTTGGGGATAGAGTTGCGGGACACAACCTGTTGGTTCTGCACTGTGGAGCTCTTGAAAGCCTTCCTCATGTTGATGTCCTGCAGCGAAACTGGGGACACGGAGGGGAGAGGGGAATTATCCCTTTGCCTCACCTTGCAGTCCCCAAACAACCCCAGGCACCACGCTATCCACCTGCCAGCCCCTCACCTTCCTCCACAGTGGAGTCCAGCTGCGTCACCTTGATGACCAGCAGGTCCACCCTCTCCTGCAGTGAGTTCATCCTCATGTAGAAGCTGTTGGCCTCATTGAACAGCTCCCCAAAGATGTCCTCAGCGTGCCGGCCTGCCGGGGGAAAACATGCTCCCATCATATGCTGCTTTATTTGCAGTGTCAGAACTGTACACTGGGTTCTGGGGACCTGAGCTAGTCCCCTCCAGGCCTGGCAATGCCCATTCCATCCTTGCTAGGTACAGGTTGGGGTTTGCCCCACAAACCTCACATGCACTGGGCTCTTGTCCTTCCCTTTGCTGCTGGAATCAGTCCTGAAACAGGAAGGACTGAGGACTTTTATACTGAACTATCTTTCACCTAGGGCATTCACATGGCTCTCAGTGTTCTGCATTAACAAGAATCTAAATACCTTCTCATTTCCAGCCAAGTCAAGAAATGAAAGATCATTTGACCAAAAAGTCAAAAAGACTGGCAACAGGAGGACAACAAGTCTTAAAATAACCGTGTGTCCCCCTTTCCAACCCAACTCTTCTGAGCTTGTGATGGTTGTATCACTTGAGATGTCACTGCTGGGAAGGTGGCAGTCCATGCAGGGAAGTGCCATGGGCTCTATGACAGCACTCCTGGGCACGCAGCCTCCCGCCAGACTGCAGCTGATGCTGCTTGCTGGGGTCTCTTTCATTTACCTTTCCTGCTTCATGCAAATGTTCCCCCCAAGAGCATCCCTTCTTAATATCTGGATAAACCTCACCCTACTGGGAACTCTCAGAACCAAACCAGGGTCAGTGACCACAGCATCACACCGCTTCAACCATTCCCAGTGCTGGCACAGGGTCACAGCATCCCCATCCCCATCCCTTGTGACTCACTGAGGCTGCCCAGCTGCTTGATGATGGCAGCCAGTGTGCTGTTGGTGACACATTCCAGCTCACTCGTCACCCCGTCAGGCAGGGCCCCCCGGCACAGGTGCCGGGGCTCGATGTTCCTCTTCACCAGTGGCATACTGCTGGTGGGCACTCACACTCTCCTGGGAAAGGAAGAAAAAAGGAGAAACAACCCAAAACAGCCTTTTCCATTTGCATTTCCGCTCTTCTCTCTCTCTGGGGACCCACCTAGGAAATGGCGATGACAGAGTGTGGCTCAAACCAGCAGCAAACCCTGTGCGATGCAGCCCTTCGGCTGGCCCCAAAACACCTCCCCTGACCCAAACGGGAGCAAGCGAGTGCCTGTAATTCCATTATTTCCAGCTGACTGCAGAGCTCTCTGGGATTTATTTGTGCACACACACAGCTCTGATGCGGGCTGCCATGTCCTGCCCTGCTCTCCACAACATCCCCCAGGGCCGGGGTGGCTCACTGTCTGCAGGATTGGGAAGCCACGAGGAGGGAGGAGGAGGATGGATGGGATGCTAAGAGCTGGGCATACCCATAAGGCAGCAGGAACGCCGACTACGGCAAGGGCCAGAAATGTGCACAGCTCGCTTTTTTTGGCCCTAACAGTACTTGGCAGAACAGATTCCCATTGATAGCACCCACCATGCTCCCCAGCCCCCCACCCGCACCCCAGCTTGGTGGGAGTTTTCTAATGCAAATGAAAACTCTTGACAAAACAGCGCAAAACTTGTATCTAAATCATTAGTGCTGAGCTTCCAAAAAGGCTGATTGTGCTCCCAGCAGCACAAAGCAGATGCTATTCTGCCTTCTGAGTCCATCCCCTCCAGCACTTCCCAAACTGAGAGGAAGCACTTAATGAGCTGCTTGTGCCGTCTGTCCGTTGGGAAAGGGGAGGTGCAGACCAGTTCTCAGCACAGGATGCTGCCCCGGGGGTGCTGGCTGCATTTCCTGACGCATGAGGTCCAGGAGCACTGACAGTAGTCACTGATGGCACCCACATAAGGCTGAACTTGGGCAGCTGCAGGCCTTAAAGCACCAGACTGCCATGTTTAGGCAGGCTCTGACAGATCATCATGACCCCCAGCAGCATCACCTAGGGCCCATCCTGGGATAGGAGCTTAGTGAAGCTTGGTATTGCCCTCTGGGCTCGGTGTGCCAAAGGGACTTGGGCTGGTGGCTCCTTGGTGTCCCCTGTGAGCCACCCCTATGGGACTGTACAGGTGGTCCAACAGGGCTGGATGAAGGCATGCTCTAGGTGATGTTCAGTGCCTTCCAGGTGGCAATGAGACAGTTTGGTGAGCACTAGATCCTGACTTCATATTGTGTGAGATGAGAGCACAGATTTAGGAAGCGAGGGGGTGTGTGCCATGACCCTAGCTATGCCAAGCTCTCACAGAGCTCAGTGCTGTGCCCCTGTGCTGAGCTTGGATTGGGGTCTGTCTATGTTTCTGTCTGTCTGTTTAGCCCCTGTTGTCAGATCTCACCCAACTGCACTGCCTAGGCACTGCCGGCAGTGGGACTGTGTAGCCCAGCAGGAGCCTTGGCCAGGCACCAACAGCAGAGCAAGGAGAAAAGCAAAGGGAGCAGTGTATGGCAAATCCACAGTGCTTGTACAGAGACAAGGAGGTCTGCAAACACACATCGAGAGAGTGAGATCAGGAAGGTGATGAGATGGCTGCTTGGTTGGGATGTAGCACAGAGAACCTGCTTGCTGGAGCCAGCCCTGCAGCCACTGCCGTGCTGCACACAAAATGGAGTGCTCCTTCACCACCAAGACACATTGCTCGTGTTTAGGAAATGCATCTGTGACCGCCTGTTACTCTGCTGATCGCTGGAGTGACTGCGATTGCTACCAGCCCGACAGGCATCACCGCTTCACATGGAGCTGATAGCACAGCTGAACTCTTCCAAAGGCTCACTGAATGCTCTGCAACTGGCTGGGTCTCCAGCATCCCCGTTCCTCAAAACATACCGGAGGGCAAATCCCAGGAGGCTGCTCCCAGGTCACCAATCCATCAGCGCAGGGAGGTTGGAGGCTCACAGCACAGCGAGCTGCGATGTCTCAGCAGTGAGGAACTGAACAGCAACCATCCCAATCTGCTGGAACGAGCTCACTCCATGCACATGGCTGAGGTCCTGCTGGACAGCCAGGGGAAGGGTCAGCACCCACAGCCAAGAGGAGCACAAGCTGAGGCCGCCTGCCTGGGCTGCACTGCTGGGCTGGAGCTGGAGCTGGTGCTGCCTGTGCTCAGGGCCAGCACCTCCATCCCAACAGGAGCGCTGCCTGCACCTTCCCCACGGCCCATCTGCAGCCTCCGCCTGCGCTGCGCCAACTGCAGCGGCTCTGCCTCCACCGAGCTGCAGGAGAGAGGCTCCGCCACCGCGCTGAGCTGTGAAGTGCAACACAACATGGCTAAAAATATTCCCTAAGAGTTGTGTTAGTAAATGCCACGCTAATTTTTTTTTTTTTTTTTTTTTTTTTTTTTTTTTTTTACCTTCTGCTGCAAAGCTCTCAGCTCCAGAAACAGCAGTGGGCTCAATTGCCTCTAACTTGCAAGCACCTCTCCGAGCTGGGCTTTGCAGTGGTCAAAAAGCTCTTTAGGGGGGATGCTGAATATGCAGTGCCTGCTGCCTTGGGATTAGGGGAAAGCTAGCCCTGTTGCTCGACAGCAAACAGGCTCCTACATGGCTTGACCTGAACTATACATACAGCTACATCAACTGGCAGGTGGGTTTTCATGCAGCTATTTTCCTTAGGGATTAGGTGGTGTGGATTTTCTGGATCCAATCCAAAATAATGCGTGGATACCCTTGCAGTAAAGGGAGAGGGGAGAGCCAGAGATGGGGCAGGGAGCAGCAGCAATCCCGTGCATGCTTTGGCTGAAAGAAGCCTGCTGGAAAGGAACCACGTGCTGTTCTTAATGACTCTCTATCACCAAAAGAAGCCTTCAATGCCATCCCCTCTCTATGCCAGGCTCATTACCAGCAGGCCGGCCGTGTCCCGCCAGCAGTGCAGCAGGACGCAGCTGAACAAACCCCCATTCTGTGCACCACAGAAGCGCTTTGATCAGCACGGGGCAGCCTGGGAGAGCAGCAGGGCTCTTCCTGGGCACTCGCAGCTTGGGAACAGCCGGCAGAGACGCGTTTCCCTGCAACAGTGACAGGCAGCTCTGCAAAAGCATGCTGGCCTCTTTGTTTTTTGTTTTTCTTTTCTCTCTTTTCCTTTTGGCTTGAGGGCTGTTGCTCAGAACTTGTCAAGATCTTGGCGTGCACAGCTGATTTGTCATCTACCAGAAAATGGAGGACGAGCATCCTTGGTTCAGCATGGGGCTGAAGCAGACAGTAGCTCTGAGCAAGTCCGCTTCACCTCAGGGTTTCTCTGCGGGCTGCAGATCCCTAGGAAGGCAGTGGGCATTTGGGGACTTGGTTGCATCACTGCATAAGAGCCCTTGGCATGCACTGTGCTCGTAGCTGAGCAGCACAGCACATTAACCTCCTGCCCGCCATGCAGAGCTGCTTCTGCCCGCCACTGAGCTGCTCCCTGCCGCTGGGGATGCTCAAGAAATGCAGGAATGCCAAATGCCATCTAAGCACCTTTTTTTTCTTTTTTTTTTCCTTAGCTATCCCCTCTAAAACCCAGGCAATGAAACATAGAAACGAGGGCTGTGCTTAGACACACTGAAGTTTGGAGGATGAATGATGAATTCATCCTACTGCTGACCCATCCATCCAGGTGCTGCGCTCCCCTGCTTGGGTTGCCAGGCACCAGGCAGCCATAGACAAGCAATCCTGATCTGCACCGAAAGTGGCCGTGGCTCCGCACCCATTGGGATTTCAGCAAGGCGGCAGTGAGACCTCGAGCATTCAGCTGCTATGAAAGCTCTGCAAGTCGCTGAATCACGAAGCACAAGGCCCAGCTCTGCACATGCATGCCTGCGTGCTGGAGGGGCTCTGAGCTGCAGAGGGACACGTGCAGGCAGCCACCGGCCCCAGCAATCCTGCCAAGCAGTGCCCCCTCCCCCCCCATGTGCAAATGGAAAGCGCTGGTAGAGCCTTGCAGCAGGGATGTAAAGTGATGGCCCCTCCCTGCCATGCAAGGGTGCAAAGCGCACAGGTTCCCTCTCCATGCAGGAATGCAAAGTGACAGCACCCCCGCGGCCGTGCGGTGTGCAAAGAGGCTGAGACACCCCCCTACACACACACATACTCCATGTGTGGACGCAGAGAGTCCTCGACCCCCGCACACTGACTGCTCTAGGACTCCTTCCCGATGGGAGGTGCAGGCAGCCTTACACCCCCGCCCCATGCATGGGCAAAAACCTCCATGAAGAGCTGGGAAGTGAGGCTCTCCCTCCATCATGAAAATCGGCAAAGTGACGGGGGACCCCTCCCCAAGCAAGGATGCACAGCGTCCAGCCCCCCTACGCATGGATACGGTTGGGGGGGAGCACAGGCATCCAAAGTGGAGGCGATACTCCCCCTCCCCAAGGATGCAAAGCTGTATCCTCCCCGACTCAAGGATGCAAAGCACTGTGTTCTCCCCTTCTCCCCCCGCCACCACCCCC